TCACACGTTCGGTCCATGATATCCTTCTTTCTGTAGAACCATATCACCGTCGCCTCAAGTGTCTTCTTCATCTTTGAGGAAACCGTCCAATATTTACTGCAGGAAAGGAGGACAGATATCACCTTGCAGCTCAGTATTCTTTGATTTGTTACCAAAGAAATGCTCTTATCTCGTAATACTCTGCCTAGCTTTTAAAATGCGTCTTTGGCCATCCCACTACGTCTTTAGATCTCAGCGTCGCATTTTTAATGCCTAATTTTTTTATTCGTGTGTAAAACGGAGCCTATACTCAGTTATTCATTGAATTTTTTATTTGCCATTAAATAACCCAACAAAAGTTTACATGTCATTAAATTAAACACCAACTTATCCCAACCTCATTGCGCAAGCAGACGATAGCAAAAAGCAGATGATAGTCGAAAAGGAGAAAGATGAAAGAAAGAAAAAGATTAGTGGCAGATATAACATGGAATAACAACGCATGACTGATTTCAAGAGAGAAAGAGATTTAAAAGAAAGAAAGAAAACAGAAAAAAGTATGGTCATTAAGAAAGACAGAAAGAAAAAGGAAAGAAAGAAAGAAAAAATATGGTAATTACGAAAGAAAGAAAAAAGAGTAAAGAAATGTAGCCATTAAGAAAGAAAGAAAAAAGAAAGAAAGATAGAAAATATGGTAATTACGAAAGAAAGAAAAAAGAGTAAAGCAATATAGTCATTAAGAAAGAAAGCAAAGAGAAAGAAAGAAAGTAAGGAAGAAAGTAAGAAAGGACGAAAGAAAAAATGTGATCATTGAGAAAGAAAGAAAATACGGTCATTAAGAAAGAAAGAAAGAAAGAAAGAAAGAAAGAAAATATGGGCATTAAGAAAGAAAGAAAGAAAGAAAGAAAATACGGTCATTAAGAAAGAAAGAAAGAAAGAAAGAAAGAAAGAAAAGAAAATACGGTCATTAAGAAAGAAAGAAAGAAAGAAAGAAAGAAAGAAAGAAAATATGGGCATTAAGAAAGAAAGAAAAAGAAAGAAAGAAAGAAAGAAAATACGGTCACAGAAAGAAAGAAAGAAAAAAAATAAAAAGAAATTAAGAAAAAAATAAAGAAAGAAAGAAAGAAAGAAAGAAAGAAAGAAAATATGGTCATTAAGAAAGAAAAGAAAGAAAGAAAAATATGGCCATTAAGAAAGAAAAAAGAAAGAAAAAGAAAGAAAGAAAGAAAGAAAATACGGTCATTAAGAAAGAAAGAAAGAAAGAAAGAAAAAAAAAAAAAACGGTCATTAAGAAAGAAAAGAAAGAAAGAAAGAAAGAAAGAAAGAAAAAAAAAAATGGTCATTAAGAAAGAAAGAAAAAAAGAAAGAAAGAAAGAAAAAAGAAAGTCAATTAGAAGCCAAAATCTTGAAAAAAAAACTGATTACCCAACCCAGTGCCACTAATCTTTTCAAGGGTGATATATGGAAGTCACTGGCCCTGACACGTTCCTTGGTTTACAGCCAACACTTAGGGATATTTATTGTCATGAATTCAAGATTGCTTATTTATTTCTTATTTTATTCATTTCTTTTATCATTTCACTCTATCCAAGGCAATAAAGCCACTTAGACGTAAGAGGTTACTGAGTGTGAAACAATATGAGAAAAAGAAAATATTATTAAAGAGAGAATGGTAAACGGAACAGGAATTAAGACAAACGATAACGATATATACTTATATATTTCTTATATTTGTTTGATATATTAATTTTTATTTATTTTTCTTTTGCTGGTACATTTTGTAGTTTTACTAAATTCTGGCTATGGAACGTTTATTTAGTCTTTTTTGTTGATGATAAATATATATATAAATATATATATATATATATATATATATATATATATATATATATAAGGATAATTGTGTATTTGCGTAGCAGTCCTTCTTTTATATAGGTTTCATTGAATACAAGCCACTTCCATTCAGTTTTTATTTATATTTTTCATACGTTACTACAAGTGATTTTCTTTTGGGATATAGACATTAAAGCTGTCCAAATGGTATATAGATCCGATTACCATATATATATATATATATATATATATATATATATATATATATATATATATATATATATACTTTGGATCTATACCACTGTTAGAGTTATAAAAATCCAGGAAAAATATACTAAAAAGCTTAATCGAAGTGTCTTGTTATCAATTGTATGTATGTATATATATATATATATATATATATATATATATATGTGTGTGTGTGTGTGTGTGTGTGTGTGTGTGTGTGAGTTAATATTTAAGAAACAGAAAATATCTTTATATATAGTGCTCAATATTAAAATTATTAAATAATATTAAAATAGACTGTTAATATTGTATGAAAAGATTACTTAAATTTTAAATATCGGCCTTCAAAGTTTCTTGGTAACATTTCAAGTTTTCAGATGCTTCTGGCTGTAAACGATATTTCCATTTTTTTTCACTTTGTCAATCGTTTAAAATTAAAAAAAAAACCTGAAGACTGGAA